GAATTGAAGATTTCGGTGACCTGCGCAACCGCTCGAACGCTAAATAGAGATTAGTGGCATCGAGAACTTGGCGAAACTTGGTTTGTCTCGCGTAGTAAGGGAAAGCGAGTCTGGTTAAGTTGCATTCCGAACAGAGACTGTCCTGGTGACTGACGGAGTATAATTACTACGTTGCTTGATATAGGATCAATTTCAAATAAGGAATATTGGGTCTTCAACTGACCCGCGAGCTCTACACGACGATGTGACTTGTATGAGTTCAATCAGACCTCTGCTTGTTGTTTCATTAATCAGTTAGTGAATGAAACTGGCAGCTAGCACTCTCAGATAACACGTGTTCTATAAACGCTTACGACAGATTGAGTCACATACACCGATGACCAAATAAACAGTTGTATACAATCAACTGCAACCGCAGTTTGGGCACTATATTACTTCATTTCGTGGGTTGCTGGCGAGTTGCAATAACTGTGGAGTCATGAACTGTTTTCTTTTGTAATGAAATCAGGTATGCTCACGGGTTAAGCAAAGCTGAATGCTTCCAGGCGCGTTCCCGCGTTGTGAATGGAGGGTTACCTTCACCGAAGGTTAGTTGTGAATAAGTTGTGGCATACCGCAACAAATAGTGGCGGCACTACCAAGGTGTGATGGGTTTCAAGTTGGTCACCTGGCTCCTGTTAAAAAGCCGCATAAGCCCAATGACGGTGTCGTGACAAAGGCCGATGTGACTGGCCTTTAAAAACTAAATTCATTGATCCCCTCACTTCCGAGGTGAGTGATTACTGCTTGTTGCAGTTCGCACTTGGTTGTACAAAGGCTACAGGTGCGCCCTCGAAATGAAAAACGCCGAGCGACACTGGGGACGTCTCTCGTACCAAACTCCCACGTAACTTCATGATCGTGTCTTCTACAGCGGCAATTAGAGACATTCATGGAGCCGGTTTTTCTTTTCCAAGGAGCCAGCCGCAGTAAGTATGCGAAGTAGGAGCCAATAAACACTGTGGGAATGGCAAACTTACTGAAATGTCGCAAATTAAGTAGCCGGCCGATCTCCAGCGGAAGATCGACAATCTTGTTATCGTTCAGGATGAGTGCACGGAGTTCGGTCAAATCACCGATTGTTGGCGGGAGGGATTGCAGCTTGTTGCAACTGGCATCCAAGTTGACCAAATTGACCAGGTTACCCAGTTCGGATGGAAGTCGTTCCAAATTGTTATTCTTGATCACCAACGTGGTGATGTAAGTGAGCTGGTTTAGAGTTCGAGAGAAATTCTTCACTGTCCCTGAATTGTCCACATATTACGCACGAACAAGGTGATTCGAAAACGAAAGGGGGCATGGAGGAGAAACAATACCTTCAATAGTGGATCCGTGCAATAAGATGAATACTACTGAACAAACAAGAGCCACTGAGTAAAACAGACTGACATTGAAACCGGTACGGGCAATATAATAGGCGGGAAAATAAAACAGCTTACGGCTCATTTTATTGAACAAAAAATAGAACCAAGCAGTCAATATCAATTTGATTTGCTCAGTGGCTTAAACCATTGCGTGGGATTCGGACAGCTCGTAAGAACAACGGAGCCCGAAAATAAAACATCAACAGATGACGCGGTGGTTCGGCGTCAAACAGCGAAATAATATAAATCACTCAACAGTTACAACATACCTCGACCCACTAGCCAGAAGATGAATGGCAGGTTCAGTAACATAAATTAAGAGTGAAAATAATGCATGCACAAAGCTTTATTGGGTAAGACGAACGCACCGGTTAGGTTGATTCGGAACCATTCACTCTTCTTTCCTAATTTGTTCTCGTCTTCTGTCATTATGCGGCTCTGCATTGTCAGCTCGTTCAGGCAATTGTGCCTTTTACTGGCCAGATTATGTTGTTGGAGCATCTGGAATGTGATTAGTAAACCAAAATGAAAACTTCGGAAACGAGCATAGCGTCATTTACAAAGAAAAAGAGAGTGGGATAATCAACTTGAATACCAAAGGCATCACATGCAGAATAGTTTCCCTGAGAGATCGCATAAAACTACAAATGCCATACGTTCTCCCAAGGAGTGAAACACACACCGAACATCATCAACAGTGCCTGGTGCCGGTGAAAAACCGAATGGGCCAATGCAAACATTTACCATCTGAACTAAACCTACTCTGCAATTTTCTGATTGGTCGTGTTTCATCGTAAACGTTTGCGTGATTTATCATGGATGAAATAGGCGATGGACAGAACCACCGAGCGAAATTGCCATGTTTCACAATGTTTTATAAAAAGAATGTTGCTCCAACGAATTGACACGATCTTAGTAGTTGGAAGATACTGACTGATACGTTCAAATCGGTGAGACAAGCTGTTCTTGATAAGTATCAAAAAACTTACATCCACTGGACTTAGGAAAGTGGATGAGTTAATTTATACCTAAACACAGTGGTGGTGGTGGTGCAGTGGTTTAGTCGCTGTCACCGACGTGCTTCGGATCCTATGGTCCGAGGTTCGAGCTCCGCCACCGCCACCGACTTTGATGGTAAGCAGCTCTGCTGTCGTCCAGTTCAATACCAAGCCTAACCTATCGGGGCCTTATGCGGTTCGCC